TGGGTGGATAGACCTGGCTCAGGAGGTGGGTGGGTGGGTGGGTGGATAGACCTGGCTCAGGAGGTGGGTGGGTGGATGGGTGGATAGACCTGGCTCAGGAGGCAGGAGTCACACACCTCGGTCCTCAGGGAGAGGCCATCATGGCACACTGAAGGTGGCATGGGGAAAGGATCCCGTACAGTGGCTCTGTGCCAGTTTCTCCGTATTTTAATAGCCAGGGCCTACAGTTACTATACCAGTTGGTTTTGGCCCCATGGTATTAATAAATCCACATACCTTAGTAAAATCATAACTGAATGAATTTGCTCTCAGGTCCTAATTACACTACAGTAAAGGAGAAAGGTAAGAATAATTTATTTTAAGCCCTCCTGCTAGAGGTACAATTTTGCCACCTAGTAACACTGATTTTATAAGAACATGCTTTCCTTCACTATGAACTTAGAGCAATGAAATACACCTGAGCCTCAGGACTGTCCAGTCTGAGCAGTGGGTTCCGTGAGAACAAGCTCCCCCACGACACTTATCAGTCCCTGCAGGCAGCCCCTCTCACTGCACTGTCTTGCAGGTGGCTGGAGGCGATGGACAAGGCGGCCCATCCCGTCCACCAGGTAAGACCCCCCTGGTGTGCATCTGTGTTCATCTTGCACTTCTTCTCTAGAGAGAAGGGAACAGGCTAACTGCCCTGCAGTCCACCCCGGGCCTCTCAGATGTGTCCTGAATGCTGGGAAGAGGATCCTGAGCTCACAGAGTTTTCCGCTGGGTCCCACAGGGGAGCTTGTACTCCTGCTGTTTTTGTTTCCAAGGGTTTGCATGACATCCCTCCCAGCGAGACCCAGCAGGCAGGCACCAACTGGGGTGGAGTTGCTGTTTCCCACAGTGCAGTCGGTGGTTCCCCCGATGATAAACCATTGCTGCTGTTTTCTTTTTTACTCACCAATATACTCAGGTATATCTTGGGATGTTGCTATTTATTAGCTGAGCAGCTTATTTAAAAATGTGTGTTATATTCAGAAACACAGTGCTTCGTGTTCACGTCCTTGTCTGTGCACAGATTAGTCAGTCTTTACTATTCCTGTCCATTCATTATGCCTAGCTTTGGGGAAATATAGTTTTAATTTAGTTTTTACCTACAAACTTATAGGTAACTTCAAAACATCAACAGGTGAGCCATCGCTCCAGCTGTGTGGGAATCTGATACTTCTCTTTATGAGCTTGTGGTATAACCTGCCAGGGGGTAAATTGCTTTAATACCCAACTGTTCCATCTCTGTGCTCTCTATATGATTTCTAATGAGGCTAGATGTTCTTTAAATATGTTCATTTCCTCGCAAAATGGCACACAAGGAAAAGTCACTATCAATTATTTTCTCTACATATTTTGGCTCTTGTACATTTGGGGAAGATCAGATTTCTTGCACTGAAATGTCCTTTCTGGACAGTCACAAGCATCCTTGTGTGACAAACAGCAGGACTTGGGTTTCCTTTTACCTGGAACACGCTCATCCGTCTCCCCAATGCATCGCCCTAATGAGCCTCCACATTCTGGAGAGCTATCTGTTCTGCTAATGCTCTCAGAGTGTCTGCAGGACAGTGAAAAAGTGAGCACCCACACTCGCAGCAGGCTCCCACTTCACAGCAGAGAATACAGCAAGCTCGGTTCTGAAATCTTTGCCCTGCCTTGTTAAAACTAAAGAGCAAAAATGAAACCAAACAAAGCAAAGCAAGTGTCCAGCGCAGGCAGGACATTCTGATAGTGAGATAAAGACAGTGCCCCCAGCCTCGTGTCACAGTTCCTACAAAAAGCCCGTCTCCTGGCCCTACATGGGAGGAAGGCTGCCCTCTGGGGTGAAGGACCTGGATTCACTTTTGACCTTTCACATCCCTGATGAGACCCCAGGACCTGAGCTGGCCTGAGGCATTTAACTTGTGCTTTTGCACAAACAAGAGCTCCAGATAAAGAAAAGCATGAACCGTTAGGAGCTGCTGTCGGTCACAGCGGAACAATTTTCCCAGAAATGGGTCGGGGAACGATCCCAGTGGTGAGTGAAATGGTGGATCCAGCCCAGAACTTCCGGACGGGACACTAAAAGCAGCCCTTGCCAAGGGGGCTGTTGCGTTTCCTTCCATTCATGATCCTTTATTCTTTGGCGATATGCCTTCCGTCTCCTCAGAATAGAATAGAAGCCAAAGAGGAAGGATGTCTATGGAAATCAAAAGGGAAGAGAGAAGTTTGGGTTTTCTGGCTGATTATTTAAGTATTCAGATTACCTTAGCAACAGAACCATTTAGGGCAGTGGCTTCCTTGAAGTCAGAGAGACTTGGTGCTCATGTCCTGGCTCTGGGGTTGAAGACCTTGACCCAGGAGAGACACAAAGACTCTGCCTTTCCTTACAATTGCAGAACCATGTCTGGGAGGACGTCACTCTGCACAACAGCAACCTCCCGCCCCTGGCTATCAAGAACCCAGAGTGTCTGGGTCTTCTGCACCAGCTGGACAGAAGCACGGACTCGTGGGTCCAGCACTATTGCATCCTGAAGGATGGCTGCTTGTACTTCTATGCTAGCATCCGCTCCACCTACGCCTCAGGTATGGACTCAGATTCCACTTGAAATACTAGTACTTATAATAGTGGCATTAAAGACATCTTAGCTTTGCTGAGCTCATACTAGGCCCGGTGCTGGTGTTTTACCTAAATTTCTCTCATCCGTCCTCCAGAGATGAAGCACGATTCCTGCTCCCATTTTACAGATTAGAACACTGGCTGCAAAGCCAGCACAATTTGGTAGGATCCTATGTAGTGCTAAAGCTGAGATCTAAACACAGCCAGGCTAACTCCAGAGCGTGTACCCTTGGTCTACACAGCCAGGCTAACTCCAGAGCATGTACCCTTGGACTACACAGCCAGGCTAACTCCAGAGCGTGTACCCTTGGTCTACACAGCCAGGCTATCTCCAGAGCGTGTACCTTGGGCTGTCTGGAAAAGCAAAGAGTAAATCCCTTCATTCTTCCGGTCATTGATGATATTCAGGGTCAATACCAATAGTTTCTTTTGTAGCAACTCCACCCTTTTCTCATAGCATCTTAGCCCATTTGTATTGCTATAAAGGAATACCTGAGGCTGGGTGATTTATGAAGAAAGGAGGTTATTTGGCCCATGGCTCTGCAGGCTTTATAAAAAGTACTGTGTCAGCGTCTGTTTCTGCAGCGGCCACTGCTGCTTCCTCTCACGGCAGAAGGAGAAGGGGAACCTGCACGCAGAATCACAGGTGGGAAGGGATGAGCGAGAGTGGAGAGGGGCAGGCTCTGTAAACTACCAGCTCTCAGGGGAGCAAATGAAGTGAGGGACCCACTGCAGGACCCAAATGCCTCCCCTTCGGCCCCCCTCCAACTTGGGGACCAAATTCCAAGGTGTAATTTGGATCCCTCCACAGTATCCCTAACTTGGACAAGTGAGTAACAAGAAGTTTAACTGTTTTCCATGGGCAAGTTGCTTAATTTCCTAAAATTTAGTTTCCTCATTTATAAAATACAAATAACAGTACCTATTTCAAAGGACTGTTGTGAAGACCAAGGGAGTCGTTGCAATTGTTACAGTGACTTAGCTGTCCACATAAAGCTCTGAGCACAAAAATCTCTCTCATATATATTATTTCATTATGTATTTTATCATGTAATTATCATATATACTCTTGATGTGTTTATCATACAGACTTATTATATATAATACTTAAAATCTACTGTATAAAATGGTTATGTAAACAATATAATTTAATAAAATTATAATTAGATCTGATTTCCACAAAATAGGTTACCCTTCTCATAATTTTTGACAAAATAATTAGTCTTTTATTTGCTGTTGAATTCTTTTGCATATGAATAATCCTGAAATAATGAGCATCTTAGAATCTCTTTTCCTTAGCTTTAATGCTTATGTGTAGGTACGTAAACTTGCCAACTGAGAAGGTGACCGTTTCAACCTTGGACGTTTTCAAAAGGCACGAAAGAGGCATCACACCATGGTCCATCTGTCATCACGCAGGATAACAATGCGACAACTCTCCACCACCCTCTGACTTTAAAACATTCAACTATGAGGAGACAGACAGTATCTCTAGGACCTTACAAAACAGGCAGTTCTTATTCAACCCCAAATCTGTGGCTTTAAACAGCTGACACAGGATGGGAATTAAGGGCAACAGAACAATTAAGTCTCCAAGGTCGTCATTGACTTGTACTTTGATTGTACAATATCACTGTAAAAATCTGAGCTACTTAAATTACCAAATCAATTAAGCTAAGTTTTCTTCCATAAAAAGAAAAAAATGTTTAGGATTAAATGTGGAGATTGTTCCAAATTTAAATGTTAGCCAAGTGCCTTTATACCCCTGGGGCCCAGAGAATGCTACTGATTGCAAGAGTTTAAAAATAGTGATGATTGCCACTAGGTGGCTTTTCTTACTTCAAAGGATTAGAGGCCCTCCTTGGTGGAAAGGTCCTAGATAGAGAGCTGCAACTGCCCTATTTTTTTTTTTTTTTTTAAGAGACAAAGTCTAAGGTAGAGTGCAGTGGCGTCATCAGAGCACACAGCAACCTCAAACTCCTGGGCTCAGGCGATTCTCCTGCCTCAGCCTCCTGAGTAGCTGGGACTACAGAAGCATGCCACAACTTCCAGCTATTTTTGTCTGTTTTTTGTAGAGATGGGATCTTGTTCTTGCTCAGGCTGGCCTTAAGCTACTGGCCCCAAGCAATCTTCCTGCCTCAGCCTCCAAGAGTGTTAGGATTACAGGCCAAAACTTCTCTATTAAATAGCCTAAAAATAATAATAGCAAAAGTAGCAGTTATTATCTATCATTTAGGGAGTAAAGATCTTGTACTTAGGCACTCTGCTAAATGCTTTCACTTGCTGTTTTCACTTAAATCCTATAATCCTATAAAATAAGCCATTATACCACCTATAGGTTTAGAAACTGATGCTTAGCAAGGTTAAATAATTTGCCCAAATTATCCTTATTAGTAAATGGTGAAGACAGAATTTGAACCCAGATAGTCAAGTTATAGCAACAAAAAGAAAAAAACCAATGAGTAGGAAAAAATGGAAGTCTTGTTTATACTGCTCTTATCATCATATCCTTCTTTCTAAGACCTTTCATGGCTCTTGGTTGTCTCCAAAGCACTCTGGGGCCTCATATTCTGCTCTACAAGTCCTTTTATGGCTTTATTTTCTACTCCTTGCATCCAACACTCCACCCAAACAAGGCCGCATTCCATTTCCTTAGCACACTCCAACTTCTGGACATTTTTCTGACCCTATGCCTTTGTTTATGCAGGTTCCTTCCCCTGAAACACCCTCTACCTACTGACCACTCGATGAAAATTGCCCAGATTCTACCTATCCTTCAACTGTCTATTCAAATGCTGTCCATGTATACTACGAAGTAATCCCAGATGGTCCCAGATAAACAAACTCTCCTTTTTCTGAGCTTATCTATCTTGTGACACTTATCATCATAATTGTATATTATCTCTTGATTGACCATCTTATCTCTTGTGAGGGATCCCAGGCCTAGAAATGACTCTATATTATGCACACTTAATGAACAAATGGCTAAATATTCAAATGTCCTTAACTGGTGATTGTTCCCATAGAGTATGAGTAGTTTGTCATCTCTTCATTTAATAGGGAAGATAGGTTAGATGTTTGAAAATCCAATTCAAAGACAGAAGCAGAACTCAGCCCGCTACCACACCCAGCTTTTCTGCTGTATCACGCTCTCTCCAACTATAAACAGTTATCTAATTTCTGGATATGTCATCAGAGCTCTAAGAACAGATCTGCCTTACCATTGTGGCTACCAGCACCTGCACACACTACCCGAGGGCCTAGGGATTCAGCCCACCCTACCAGCTCCGCAGGCCTGAGAGCAGGTCCCACCTACCCTTCCCTATTGTCACCAACACATACCATCCTGGGGACTGAGGAATAGCTTACCCCACCTGCCACCAACACCAGTGCATACCATCTGCAGTCTTGAAAAAGGCTCATCCCCATTCCCCCTGATGGCACCTGTGTACACCACTCAGGGGCCTGAGGATTGACTCACCAAGTGTCCCCATCCCCAGCAAAGCCTCACCACATCCTCCACTAATGACCTCAACCTTAATTCACTCACAGAACCACTGATATTAACTACACCTGAAGAAATTATTTGGAGGTTACAACTACATGCACCCAAGAGCCCAAGTATCCCCGCTTAACACTATAGATAGATCTACAGGAAAAGTTTCCCTATGAAAACCAATCCATAAAACTGGAAGAAGTGGGTGGAAGGTTGGGTGCAATCTAGACTATTGGCCAAGTCCTCAAGGAATTTTTCAATTTCAAGACATGTCTTTTGAAATAACTCAGTCATAACATTTTTTTAAAAGAATTTAAAAGGTTGAAGAAAACCTATGGGACATATAAAGTGAACATGTTCTTAATTTTATAAGTTCCATAAGAAGAAGAAATAGGCAAAGTTACATAAAACCTTTTTAATGAAATAACAGCTGAAAACTTTTCACATCTCATGACAGATACAGACACTCTGATATAGGAAGCTTGGTTTTCCCCAAGAAAATCTTGTTCAATCTAACAAGGTTCTCTCTAAAGCACATAAATTATCATAAAATTTTCAAAGTAAGAAACAAAGAGCAAATTCCACAATCAACAAGAGAAAGGCATCAAGTCACATATAAGGGAACTTTCATCAGGCTAAAAGCACAGAAGATTTCACAGAATAAACATTACAGGCCAGGTGACAGTAAGATATGCAAAATGCTAAAAGAAATTTTTAAAAAGAAACCCTGGCAACCAAGAATACTATACCCAACAAAGCTATCCTTCAAAATTTTAAAAGAAATAAAATCTTTCATGTAAAAGCAAAAATGGAGGGATTTCATTCCCACTGGCCCATCACTACATGGAATGTTTAAGGAAATCCTACATAAGTGAAAAAACAGTACGTACCTTCATGGAAATACATGAAATCATAAAATTCACAAGCAGGAAGAAATAAAAGGTTATAACTTTAAAGAACCACCAAATCATAACAAGAAAGAGGAAGAATAAAGATGAAGAAATGAAAAAGAATACATGAAACAAAAACAGTCAACAAAACGACAGAGTTTCTCATGTACCAACAACACACTTGAATATAAATAATTTAAATTCCACAATTAAAGAAACAAACTAGCTGGCTGGATTTTTAAAAAGAGGATACTCAACTATATTATGCCTTCAAGAAATTCACTTCACCTGTAAAGATACACAGATTGAAAGTAATGGAAATGCATGTTTTGGCCCCAGATGGTGGCCATGGATGAGCCTGTGGGTCTTCAGGGAGCTTGTAAATGCACAGTGACCCTGCTGTTGGGGGTAGTAAGGTCATTGCTAGTGGCTTATACTTTGGCTACAGTTGCAACAGCCAGGAGCAGCACCTGTGACATGTGTAGCTGCTCCACTGCTATGGGTGGCAGGGTCATTGTCAGTGGCTCATGTTACAGCCCTGGCAGCAGTGGTGGCTACAGGCAGGGCTGCCAGTGGTGCC